TTTAATTGTATCTTTATGACCAAAATTGAGGAAGTTACACTTGTTGATCTTTTTCCAAAAAGATTGTCATTTTTTTTGCACACCACTGTATGTTATCCACCATTTATATTTTGGGGAAAAACAATTGGAAGGGAATAGATTTATCAAGCTGGAGATCTGATGAAGCAACTTTATCATAGTATTTTCTTAGGTTATCAAAACCTCTCTCTAAAGCCCACAATATTCTTGCATAAATTTCATGTTATTGGTGTCCATGGATAACATCAAAGGAATATAAGGTGTAAGACTAGTGCTATAAATTATGATGATGGTATTAATTGTATTTATGGCATATAAAAAGTGGTTGCAATTACCTTTGCAACCACTTTTGCAACCATACTTTTTCTTTTTTTTGGATTACAGCATTAGTCTTTAATAAGGTGTTAATGGATACTCCAGTTTGTTGAGAACCAAGTTTGCTTTAAAGGTATTTAAAAAATATCATTAAGGTTTTTATTCAATAAGAATTAATTCTTATATTTTTTTAGATGCTTGTTTCAAAATATGCTCTAGTGAATTTGAAGCAGATGATAATTATACAGGAAATGATGAGAATGATATAGAAATGCCACTTGAAATGTGTAGAATAATTGCTAATGAAGATTGGTGGAAGGATATTAAAAAATTGGAAAAGCTTTTGCTTCCATTTTGTGGTGCACTCAACAAGTTACAAACAGATAATGCTTGTCTTCATGATGTACTATATACATTGTTTTGCTTATTTTTACAAGATGTGGAAGGAGTACCCTGACCAAAATTTAAGTGCAAGGATGACTATTCGTCTAGAAAAACATTGGCAAATATGGGAGCAACCATTATTATTATTATCCTTCATTCTTCATCCTGAATATTATGACAAAATTTTTCTTCAAGATAATACATCTATTTCTATTGCAAACCTCAGTGAATGGATGATATATTATTTTTGTGTATGGTTTAAAAAAGTTCCTGATACTTTGTTAGGTGAATTACAAAATTATCATAGACAAAATTTTCCTTTTCACAATATTTCATTAAAACAATTTAATGATGGTGTACTTGGCTTTTGGGATTTTGTTTCAGCTTATACACCAGATTTGAATATTTTTTCTACAAAGTATTTGCAATATGCATAAATACTGCTTCTGTGGAAAGGCTTTTTTCTGCAATGGATTTTTTCCACACAAAAAAGAAATTGTTTGTATGTATGTGAATTTTATATTTTATATATATATTTTTTGACTATAATTATTAAATCATCTTATACTTGAATTGATTGATTCACAATGTATATTAATTTAACTCTTTTTACAGGTCATACAGATTAATTAGTCTTAGATTTTTTTTTGCACACCACTGTATGTTATCCACCATTTATATTTTGGGGAAAAACAATTGGAAGGGAATAGATTTATCAAGCTGGAGATCTGATGAAGCAACTTTATCATAGTATTTTCTTAGGTTATCAAAACCTCTCTCTAAAGCCCACAATATTCTTGCATAAATTTCATGTTATTGGTGTCCATGGATAACATCAAAGGAATATAAGGTGTAAGACTAGTGCTATAAATTATGATGATGGTATTAATTGTATTTATGGCATATAAAAAGTGGTTGCAATTACCTTTGCAACCACTTTTGCAACCATACTTTTTCTTTTTTTTGGATTACAGCATTAGTCTTTAATAAGGTGTTAATGGATCTGTAACTGGCTTTTCAAGGAAAACAGTACCAGAGACCATTAGCCAAGATCCAGCCATAGATATAATAAAGCTTGGACAGCAACATTGTTCACACCAAAAATTATCTGGCCTTGCTGACCAATAGTTGACATATGAAAACAATCCTTGGAGATATGGATCCATCTCACCAGTTCCTATACAAAAGTGTGTGTGAATAAAAATATATCATTGGTAGATGATTATGCAATGACATCCAAAAAAGTGTTTTACTTGCTAATTTCATTTTTTATTTCCCTATTTCCCAATCAATGCTCCTTTTACATGATGTGTAAGGAACCCATCACTTTGTCAACTATTACTCAAAATAATCTCTTGAAAAACATATTGAAATATGTGATAAAGTTGAGTTGGGCTTGAAACATTTAAAAAATAATTATCAAATCTTTGATCCTAGCATCCTCATGTTTGCCATTAGTAGCAACATATGTTTTTGACATCTCCTCGCATTGTCTTAATGCAATACCATAATATTTCCTCGGAATTTGCATTGTACTTTTCAAGTCATGATGAAATTGGACAAAAGCATCACAAAACCAAATGACAGGATGTCCAACATACTCTGGACAATGACACATGACATTTGCTCATTTTTGATTTCTTTCTAAACATTTGAAATGTCATTGTTTTTTACTGTCTTTATAATCCTATCTTGAGTTTCAACTGGATCTTCTCCCTCTGAGAGTAAAGAAAGAATCAATAAATGTGAATTGAAAGATAAAAAATGAGTGCATATCTAAACATGCATTATGTAAAATTTACCTTAAGTTCGCCTGCCGTCGTGAAGTGGTTGTGTTTCAAAATTATTCCAATATGGCGGCGTTTCTTGGGGGACAACTTTCTTGGGCAACCAGGTGAGTGATTTATAGAGTTATTGCCAGTTTTACGTAATTTACTGACATATCATTCACAGGAGCGTAAAGGGATATTCAATCGTTCGGAAATTTCTTTTGCATTACGCACGTTTTGTTGCCAAAGTGACTTAACGGCGTTTCGCTGGATTTCAAGTGGACTTGGCATTTTTTAGCGGGCAAAAACGAAATGTAAACAATAACAAACCTAATTGTTTACAACTTACTTATTAAATAAACAATCCATTGTCCAATTTGGTAATATAAACAATGGCCCGATTCGGAAAAATGGTGACGTTGCGGCCAAAAATAGATGCGGTATCTCCACCGCCATTCTTTTTGCCGGGGACTGTAAATGTATTGATAATATTAAAAATAATCATAAAAAGGTGCAAATCAGTTAAAGTTATGAAATAAAACAACTAAATAAACAAAATGGAATAAATGGAAACAAGTGGATATTAAAAAGGTTATGGATAATATTAAGCAAATCATCAACGAATCAGTAATAATAAATAACAAAAGAAAAAAATCCACAAATTAGTTAAAAATTATAAACAGTATATCAAATGAATAAGTAAATAAATAAATGAAATGGAATGAATGGAAAATAATTTTTTGTATGTTTTTTAACACAATTTGTTCATTACTTTTCCCTTCATCTATCTTCAACAATGTGTCTCTCCACTTCTTTTCTTCCCAGCATTATATTATCTCTTCAATTTTAACTCTTCTTTTCCTTCTCCAGATTTTCTCCCACCCTTTTCTCTGTTCATTGCTCTTCCAATTTCCGTCAGTCAACTTATCTTCTAACTCGTCCAACCTATTCCCTTTCTCCCTCTCTCACTTATCAAACTTCTCCATTGTCTTCCTATATTCTTCCTTTGCAACTTCTAATTCTTTGATTTCTTCTTTGATTGCCATTTATAAAAAAAAATATTGTAAAATTAAAAATTGATTTTTTTATTGATTCTTATGCATAATTTCGACCGATGATAAATCAGTGGGCACATGACTTGGATTTACTATTTATTTAGAGCACTTACATATAATCATGTAGTTATCAGTCAGTGTGCAAATCCTTTCTCTTTTTTTTAATTAGTGCGTGTAACATTTGCTTGAATGCCAAAAATTTCTTTTAACATTTATAACACATAAACTTCTTAATAGATTAAAAAAATG